CAATGTCGTGTGCAGCGACACGCATGCTAGAAAGTGTAAATATTATGTACCTACTCATACTGATGATTAATTACCCACTGGTTACTAACTTAAACCTAGGGTTCTAAATCAAATATTACTATCGTTTTTGACTGTTCGCCGTGTTAAACCATAATTGGACGAGGAACATCCGATTCTCTTATCCGTTTGCTATACAAGAGTCCATTCATATTAAACGTGTATAGGTACATACATGTACAAACACGTTTCCACGAGGAATATTGCCTTATGGAAATTTGCATTTATTCCTCACTCCCAATCGGTTCCCTGTCAGGCCACGGGCAAGAGCGAGTAACGAATATTGGGGTTTAGAAAAAATAATAATAAACCAGTAATAATAAATCTGTAGGTATATAAACCGTTCGCCGGCTTAAAGGTGTGACTATAAATGCGTGTTTCTCGTGGCTGAATTAATATCAATTTGAACGTTTCGATTTGAGTTGATTTGAATAGATCTGTATAGCATTGTCCACGTGAAAATTTACTGATTACAATGATTCGATCGAAACCATTTCGGACCTCTTTTCATCGGGTCGGTCGGATTATGTTATGCGCACAGTAGAAGAAGGTACCTAGGAAAATCGCTCTGCGTCTTATCAATATAATATCATTTGCTAATAAAATTATATATCACTGCAGACAACGAAAGAACGTCGAAAAACGAATTGTGTAGTCAGGCGCACAGCTATATATATTTTATACCACTTCCATATTATGCACATACCACATACCGCTTAAATTATTTACTTTTCTGTTTATTTATTTTACAAGCCTCGACGTTCATTTCCCTCCATGATAATAATGAAAATGTATGTATAATCGAACTCGACTAAGTCCACCGGGTGCTATGAAATATCGCACCCTTGTTCTATTGGCTCAAGACCGGAGTCTCGGACAAAACTCGAAATGTCTTTTTTTTAGTTAGGGCTGCAGGTAGCCTTGTTCCCCCTAAATAATTCTATACGACTACATCCCCAGAAGTCAAAAGCCGCATCTCAAACCACGATTTCATAATACATTCATATCGGTACTGCATTCGAAATATTCATTATTTTGATTGAAAAAATAATAATGTGGGCACATCATGACACGTTGCTTTGTTGCGCAATTGTATGGTTTTTTTCCAGTTAAATATGATAAACCAATAACGCTGCCTCGTTTTTGATTTGAGGCGTTTTAACATTGAAATGAATAATTCTATACTAGTTGATACTCGTGAACAAACATTGAACTGTTTAATTTCGTTATTTTGGCAGTCGCGGATTGCTAGCCTTTTGTTTTATTCAACACAATCTGAATAGAGGTGGTATTGGTTATTGTCACATGACAATTAATAATTGATACCTATGGTTAGATAAATGGAACACTGCCACAAAACTAAATGTGCCAGCTTTGTTAACTATTCAAATCATTTCTAAACAGCCACATAAAATAATTTCTAATGATATATTTATCTAACAGCAGTTTAAAATGAAAACAATATATAACTAAAAGCTTTGGGTAACATGAATAGCTACTGCTATATAAGGTGTTAAAAATTAAAATCAAAGCTTAAAAATTAATCATTTGGGAGCAGATTCGATTTTAAAACTGAATTATCTTAAAAACTTATGTTTTTTGAACTGTGGTAGTCTTTTGTACATGTAGTCTTGGTGATGTGATTCATATATACGCCAAACTCGAGGTGGTGGAATTCGACCTGGGGAAAGTATAATACGAAGTCTGTATAATATTCCGGTAATAATACAAGCACTTTTGACTGAAATTCACAGTTTTTTGAGCGAATCGACGGACCGAACACTGACGTACGAATCGGTGTTTTCGCCACTTTGGGACGTGTTGCTTTATTGTTATCGTCGATGACGTCATTGCATAAAACCACAGTTTGCACGAAGTCAAAATCCCCGCCCACGCTTCCTCATGAGTGTGGCCCGAGTCGGGTCTTTCTCGGGGACTGGTAGTTTCGTGTGCGTTTTCATGTGGGTACAAGGGCGATTTCAATTTTCATGCTTCTTTAATAAATACTTCATTTTGTACTACGATTTGAGGAAATAGAGAGTTTACTAGAAGTTAAGAAGTAGAATTCTCTTAGAACCTTCTCCTAGAATTAGTATTCTGGTTATTATTTTAAGTTTGTTTATTTCCGTCTTAATCTGTAATTTTATATTCTTAAATTATAGAGCAGGATATCTTCAAACTAGATTTCTAAGTTCTAAGTTTTTAAAGTTCTAACCATCTCTAATCATATTATAATATCAGTACATCACATATAGTTTGGATAAGAGAGTGGAATAACCGGAGCGCTGACGTGCATTAAAATGTTTGCTTCGTTTCTTCATTTTTAAGTTTTGGGAAGTCATTTACATATCAACGGTTATCGATATAATTAAAAATGTAAAAATACCTACAGTAATAGAGAAACTTTGTTCTATTTTTTTTTTTTATGACATCATTTTTTTGACTAATAGGAATTGATAAAAATGTGGGTCTCGCATTCTTCCGTAATAATGAAAACCATTACTCCCGTTATATAATAAGTAAATAGATACATAATTATTTTATATTTTTTGTGATAAAATTTATTTTTTTAATAAATCGAATAATTGTATAAGAAATAATTATAATAATAAATCCGTATTACCGTGCGTACACCTGTGGATAATCGATATCATCATTGACCACGACTAACCATAGTAACACACAATACGGATTCATGTTATATTATGTTCTTAATATTAAATTAAAATACTTTACCTGATTACCTGAACCACAATACTATAGAGTGTTTTTCACTTGTAAATGTTTTTTTTTAAATCTTCTACCAATTGAACATTTTTTTTTTCAATTCGGCTTTTTCCCCTGACCTAGTTACGTGAATAGTATTTTATTAATCATTCTCGTTTTAACAACTATGAATATCTACCTCCCGAATGCGTAAGTGACAAATGGATACTAAATCTTCCTTTTAAAGAAAATTGACTGGAAATTCTACAATTAATGAATGGTTTACGTCATGCTCTTAAATTAATGTGTTATATTATGTGAAGAATTCATACTACAACATTATATAAACCTTGTGTATAAAATATATGACCGTACTACTACTTAAGCAAAGTGAGAATAAAGTTGAATAGAAAAATTTTAAGGTTGTACATGGTACATGATACAAGCCTTATTACAGTAAAATATTTGAATTGTCTTAATATGTATTCAATAAACGTGAAATATTGATGAAATTTAATTAATAATAATTTTATTCTATCGACGATTTTGCACACTATGGTAAGTTTACAGTGATATACTGTTTAAGTATACTGATTAGTGTTGTATGTTGTAAGCCGGGCTCAGACCTCAAGGGAAAAACATTTCAAAAACATTTATATGTTTTTACTAAAAATATATATATGACAATACTACAAGTAAAACAAGTCTGATTCTGCAAAAGCATTCTGATTCGTGAAAAGTTGATAAACTAATTTAAATGTGTTTGATGTTAACATCATTCAATTTTAAAATTGATACAATAGACATAATCTACTATAGCGTATAATATAGTATATATTCAATATTGATTTTTTTATGAATACACACACATTGATAATGTGGACTGCCTAATTCAAAGCCTAAAAATTAGAAAAAAATCATCAATTTATTTTATATTATGACGAAAAATTAAAAATTTTAATAATATTATACGGCTTTAAAATCTTTTCACTCGATAGATAAGGAAGAGATTTTGTAATTCATCATAATCACTAAGCACATTACAGATTAAGTAACTACATAAACTTGTGCACACTCTGATGGTGATATTTATTTTAATTAATGTTGTGGGGCGTGATAAATTAATAACAATAACTTTAAATACAATAGATCGGAGATCCACTAAGCCATAGACGAAAAACGTACTTACCTGACTACCAATCCTAATCTAACCCATATTATTATATTGTTATTTTAAGAATCTATCTACTTACGTGTTTTTACTTCAATTATTTCAGTCAATTTCTACCTCTAATGTAAACTGATAATTTCAAATATTTATTTTTGATATATATTCTGGGCACACTATTAGATAAAAAAAACAATTCGATTAAATACATATACACCTATTGCCTTTCTCCATTAAATTTGTCAACAACCATTGACAAAAAAAGAGAGAGAGAAAGAGAGATAGAATTACAAATATTTTTTCAATTAAATCGATTTTCAAGGGTCGAAAAAGTTTATTTTATAAATGCTTTATTGAAGTGCAAAATTATATATTTATTCCTATCTACAATGAAAACTAAATTACACAATACGGTTATATATGGAGTATTTTTATGAACAATTTTAATCCGTCGTTTTACTTCGACATTCACTAAAAAATAGATTTTTGTGCCATTGTTCTTACTATTTACGTTAAAACATATAATTAACAATGTTATATTATTCCGTATTTTTTTATTATAAAATATGAACAATAATTTTATGATTGTTAATAATATACCAATAATAAGACAAATTTAACAAGTTCAAGAATTTGTATACTTACGATTGTGGTCTGTGAGAATGTTAATAAAGTATTGTTCTATTTGTTTCTATATTCAAATCTGACAACAACAATTAAAAATCAACCTTCATAATAATATATTACTTTTAATAATATTTCACTATACAAATTGTGTTATTCAAAATAATTCAGTGTCAATACAAAATATGATGTATATACATTTATTTATATATTTATATTGTATTGTAATTAAGTATTCTCTGAAAAAATTAATTTAAAATAAGAATTTTTATTTATCATTGCATTGTTGTGGTAAAAACTGTTTTTATAAATACATTATATATTAGAAAAGCTACATGAATGAGGCACATTGATAATACATATCAAACTGTGTTCCCTCTCTCTCTTTTTCTTTTAAATAATGTTTCTTTAGCAATAAACAATTTTCATTTAATACGTTTTTCAGATATTTGGATCACCTTGTACTCCAGTTCTGGAAAATCCGGAATTTCAGACAAGATGGTACTTTAAGTACTTTTTGGGAAAACGTATGTATATTTTTTAAATTATATTTTGCTTGCTTACGTGTTTTTAACATATCAACAGCTGTTTTTAATTGTATATGATATTTGAATAAAAATATCTAAATTTATTTAAATCATTTGTAATAGTTATATCCTTAAAGAATATTTTTAATTATGTTTTGCATAGTGCACCAGAATTATGTTGGATCGGATGTGGATAAGTTTCCATTTTTTTTATCCGTTGTGTTGACGGATGCAAATCATCAGTGCGTTCCTCAGTATAGAGCGATATTGTGGCGCAAAACGGTAATATTTTTAATTTTTAATTTTTATTATTGCGAACATTTTTGAAAAAAATATCTTAAGTCTATGAAACATGTGTTTTCCAAAACCTTTTTTATTACTAAGCTGCTATAGTAAAGATATTATTTTATATTAAACGTTTAAAATTATCATGGAACATACCATTTTGGAATAAATAATAATTTATCAAATGTATCAATTTTTATAAAATCCTTTTGGCATGTAAATTATTTTATGGATTAATTATTATTATTTTGATAAAAGTAGAAAATGAATTGTCAAATTCACAGAAACTTTCAAAAATACATAAATTATAATTAACTTATTAACAATATATTTTTACTTTTGTATTTAGAATATGAACTTAACTTTGTAGATTTTAAAAACAAATTATAAAGTATGCAATAAAAAATTAAAAAGTATTAATAACCTACGAAAACAATTTTAATCACGCTTTTCCCTGGACAAAATCGTGATTAAAACGCAAAATTGTATATATTAGTATGTATCTATAATTGATTTCAGATTTAAAAAAAATGTATATTGTATTTAATTTTAAAACATTTTAAAATGTTTTTAAAATGTACTTGAATCGTAAAAATAATATAATCAATTTAAATTGAGCATTATATTATAGGTACAACAAAATTATCAAGTAACTTTATAATCATTATATATATTATATTAAAAACACATGCTAATTTAATTTGATAAAATATTGTATAGAAGTCGACTTAAGTCATAAATATATTTTTTAATTTATTCAAACTAAAAATAATATACTATTAAAGTAGTAAACATAATATTAAGCATTGAGTTAATATTTTTAATACATAATATGTATATATATATATATTGTAAAATCCATATTAAAATCTTTAACTATTGTACATAACCTTTATGAATCATATCCTCGATGACGGTTTAACACTTAAACCGTATATAGGCCTATAAAACGTACACCTGATCCTGCAGATACATTTTTATTACACTTTTGGCTTAATATTGCGCATTTTAAATTTAATACTTATATTATTATTTTCCACACAAGATTAAAACGTTTATACAAGAATATATTTCATAGAAAAATTTTAAAAATATGCTTTTTGATTCGGGAAACATTCTAAGTAGAATATTTATTTGTAATATCACATTTTCCGATTGCTTGCCGATAGGTTTTTATGATTAAACTAGATTGCCAATATGATGGTGGTTCGGGTTCAAGATGCCTCTCAAAAGCACATACATAAACTGTTCAGTTTTTTTTTTTTTAGATGCGTTTAAATCAAGTAAAAGAAAACTGAAATGACTGTCAGCACAGCAGTAGAATAGATTTACTGTTGGATAGTAAAATTAAATTTACATATTTTAACAGAATGACAGTCACTTGAAAAAATTTAATAAAATAAATGTGAATCCCAATTGAAAGTTATACAAGTATATAGTTTAAATACATTTTTACACAAAAAATACATTTTAAATAACTTTACTTAACTCAATTTAAAATAAAAATCTACTTTAATAATTAAAATGGGCATTTGAAACATTGTTTTCAATTTTGTCAGTAAAATTAATTAAGCCCTGTTGGATGTTTTAGGTTTTTGTTTCTTTGATTTTGTAAACATACACATTATTTATTAAAATTGATTAGTATAATATTTGATACCGAGTTCAATAATAAAACATTTTTTCACGAATTGCCTCAGATAGCTTATTTATAGTAAAATATATAATGTAATGCCGTGTCTTTCAATTTTAATAATTAATCTAAAATACAAATTTGATTTTTTTTTAGTTGCAATTAAAAAAAAAATAGTTTTATCTTTTGAACTGAATTATAGAATTGTCTAATAGTCTTATCACGCCAACTATTATGACAGTATTTAAAAAAACATGTATCATAACCATAAGTATTTTCATTGTTGTTTATACATTTACTTTATTGTTAAAATTGTGTACCTAAAATAATGTAGTATAATATAGAGTATAACGAAATACAATTATTAGATAAGCATTTTTCTAGGAACGTAATTATTATTTTTTGGGTTATCGATAAGAACATTTTTTGTATAATATTAACATTTGTAGATATACACTATAAATATTATTAATTTTAAACTGGTATACTTATACTATTAAACAATTCATTTAATTATAATTAAATACAATTATTTTCAGGGAGCACAAAAAATCCTGTTACCTCATACACCACACAAGCCAATGACAGTCAAACAAATTTTGAGGTAAGAATAATATATCGTACCGTTATGAACCAATAATTATATTAGTTAGCGTAGTACGTAATGTTAAAGTTTATAATAATTGTAAATCAGCGACTGTCTGGAAGAAATATCTGTGACAGCAATTCCGGGCAATCGCTGATTGTAGGCACAGCTCGCATAGCAAGCCGTGGCAGTTGAATTTTAGAATAGTAAGACAGAGCATTCATATTGTCAGACCGTTTCATAAAATATTATACCAACTATCATTTTATCGTATTGTAACTTTTCTCTATCAATTTTAAATATAGAAGAAATAATTAGTTCGAAATCGTCTGTTAAAATTATTTGTGCACGGACATCCTTGGACGTCCGTAACAATTATTATTAATTAATACGTCCCGTATTATTACATACAAGAGTAGAAAATCAGTTTTATTTAGTTATTTGAGCGAGGCACTACATTATAACATTTTAAGTATCTATTTAGAATATAATTAAAAATACTTAGAAAGTATATACTCAGAAATTGTGTTGTCCACTTATCGCATGCACATTTAGATAATACTAAATAGTATTTGCTCGTATCGTTTTCACTATTTAGCAACAACAATTAATTTTATTCATTTTTTTAAATAACTATTGCAGTAAATCTGTAGTGTACACAATAACAATAATTTTGAATTACATTTTGTTCGACGATGATCAATTTATAAAATATGGTCATACTACATTTTCTATATTTAAAACAATTATTAATTTAACATTTTAGTCCATAACATACATTTTTATTTTCCTTATTAGTATCAATAAATTTTACATAACGAAAAAGTATCATTTTTTTATTTATCACGTACCTAACTTAAATTAATTCATAGAATTTAGATTCTGCTATAAACTTAGGTAAGTACCTATTAAAAAAATAAACGAGTATTATAGAAATCACGTAAGTACTTGGAAAAAAATTTGTAATAAAACATTTATGATCATAACACTATATGCAGATTCAATCGTTTTAAATGTGAAAATTTAAATTGAAAACCCACGATTTATTTAATCTTTAAATAATTTAAAATTTTTTCTCTTGTCTTATTTTTTCTAAAGCATAATATTATAAAATCGTATGTAATTAAAATTGTATTTAAAATAATATATTATTATAAGAATTTTTAATAAATTTAAACTTTTTTTTATCAAGATTATTTATTATAATTTTCAATACCTTCTATTAATTCAAATAACACAATAAGGTGATGTTCTAAACATTTTTTATTGAATACCTACTATTTTTAATCATATGTAATAATTATTTATTATTAGTTAATTATAAAAAAATGTATCAGCTAAATAAAAATACAGCTTTTATATCGACGTTTAAGTCAAACACAATATGTGCAGGTACCTACTTATATTTAAAAGGTGACTATGTTATATATAGTTATTATAAATTATTAATATTAGTCTGACAAATAAAAAGGACTGTTTCCCTTAAAAATAACTTCAAATACCTTCGTCAAAACTGACAAGTTATACAGTAAAGTACTACTTGTGTACCTACTAAAGTACTGATAATAATATTGTAATATATATATATACGTATAACGTTTTTTTTTTTTTGACAAAATAATTTCTTTGATGTATATTTTATTTATTTATTCTGTTCAAATAATACATTATTAACTATGATAAATATTTATATAGCTTATAATTAATTTTAAAATTACTAACAAGATTTTTTTGTTAATTATACTATGGTGTCTATAAATGTATTAATATTATATTAGGTAACAACGGTAGATAAACATGCCATTTTTCTGTTTTATAAATAATTTATTTTTCCTTCTAACCATCACATTTAGGTTATGCTTTGATGCATTGTGTATTGTTTAGCATTAAAATTAAATTTAGTGAAATGTTTATGTGATTAAAGATCATAAGCTATAATATATTATATATATATTATTTATCTATACCTATGTAGTAAAACCATACAAAATTTTACGACTCAGAACGTTTAACATTGGTAGTACCAGTAGACCTTATAGAATCACACATTTCCGTGATTAGGTTTTAATTGGGGTGTGACATTTTAACATTGCCCCTAGAGGGAATCTAATTATTAATCTATTATGCAAAATGATTTTCAGTTGTGTTAAAACATAAAAACAAAATATACTCAATCCGTAATAATTCTCTAATTATGATGCTATTATTGTAAACGTGAATATAATAATAATATAATCACTATTGGCCAATAAACAATACTGCAACTTTCATGTTAAAAAATTTGCTTTAATGTAGAATGTATCTTATCATTATAATAATATAGTCTTGTATTTTTAACTCCTTAGGTATCATTTGTTCGATGCTAAATGCCATATTACACATATTTTGGTAAATATTTGTTCATATTCCTCCAGCCAGTTTTTTCCCCCTTAGACTTTAAGAATGCTCAATCTTCAATATTATCATCATATTTCTTTTGACATCTACCCAATCAGAGATTATTATTATTATTATAACCTACCCCTTTTTTTAAAAAATTATTTTTAATTTTCCATGTTCTTTCACTCACATCGTGCAATAAGTCTTAAATAACTATAGAGCTTCTTTCAGATCTTTCTCACGTCCGAAGACATAATAATAATTATTATTATTTCATCATGAATCATTAATAATAAATTATTATTGAATATTGAAATATTGAAAAATCGGAACTATTTTTGTGAACATCGATGAAATGTACATTTAAACGCAGTATTTAGTGTTTTTTTCAAAGACAAATTGCTATTATATGATTAGAAGTTTTATTTATATATGCGCATCTATTTGATACTTAACATATGCAAAACGTCCATTGTTTTAAGATCGCCAGTACAACGTACGGTAAAATTGATTTACCAAATATTATTATTATTTTCTAGAAGCATCTTACTGTTGGCAAAATACCCAAAATACCAGTATAAACTGACAGATTTATCATTATACTCGTTATTTTGGTCGAAACCACATGAAATACATTACAATAAAAATAATAACAAGAAGAAGTATAATAGCGTTAAATTTGTAAAATGTTGATAGTTTTTATAATATGCGAACGTTTGAGCGAAAATTGTGTTTTCACGGTTATTTTACGATGAAAAATGAAAACCTCCAAGATTTCTCTCAGATAATAATAATATTATTTATTTTATTTTACGTATATAATATTTATATTATTATCATAATAACGAAAAGCGTAAAAAAAAACACAAACTAAATCACAGGCCGCAGCGTTATATCAATGGGAAATCCTCACTGGGTCGTATAATAATGCGTTTCTTTTCTTCATCAATCTAATGCCGCACAGTCGCGGTAGTGGAGGTGTGCTCGCAGGAACGGCGGCCATAACGACCACGAGTCCCCGCGGTGCTTTGATCACCTCGCCACACGTAAGCAAAATCAACAGGTACCTATGTTGTATTATAATATTTTATCCTCCAAACTAAGTGCGATTCGTCGATATTTCGTAATATTATTACACGTGTGCCGCCGTAGACCAATTATAGACAATTATCGAATACAGTCATAGTCGTTATTTGGACGAACGAAAACAAAAAAAAAATAACAATTCAAAAATATCAATCATAATTGAATATTATTTATTGCAAAAGATACTGCTCTCTCCCCTAAATATCTGAGGAAATATTGAAAACGAAGTGTCTTATATAAAATACCAAAAGGTACCTCTAACTAATAGCAAGATTGTTTCTTCCATAACAATTTATTATTCATTAACTTAACTAGCAAAAAAATGAAACAAAAATTGTCCGACACATACAAAACCTATTATAGTATGTGAAGCAATTGTATACATTTAGTTATGTATCAGACTATCAAACGAGCAATAAATACATAAATAATATTATATTCGACTTATTACAAATAAGTATAATATCTAACGTGCATGACGAATATTTTGTTAATAAAATATAGCATAATGCATATTATAAGGAGATTCTTGAAAATCGATTAGCGTATAAAATAATTCTGAAACCTTTTTTAATTTATAAAAAAAAACATTTTAAACAAAATTATGTACTTCAACATATTACGCATATTTTATAGAAACAATAAATTAAACGTAAGGTTTGACTAAAATAGGTATACACAAAAAATATACACATTCAAAAACCTAATTTTTCAAACCCAAACATCTTAAATATAAAGAAACTAATCACAAAATCCAAATTAGTATAGAAAGGAACACTAAAATCAATACCACTGAGCTTTATCATTGTGCTCAAAATTACAAAAAAATAATAAATAATTTGATATTTACAAATTTGCATAAGTTGGTGTAGGTAAATTAGTTTTTGATTTTAACCATCTGTTGATTAAGAAAATAAACATTTTGAAAAATAAAACACTGAACATATTGTCATACTCCCTTTTTCAATTTGTTGTTTGTGTGGCAAACAAGTTTGTTATTTTTACCAGTCTCTCTTCGAAAAGAGACTCTGGAAATCCGCATGTAGACTCTAGTGTATGTACTGTATATAGTTGAGGTTATATTTTATTTTTCATTTTATTCTTTGGGTTTGACTCATACAAAGACCCGACAGACATAATAATTTTACAATTACTGTATCGTACAACTCGTACAAGGGAAAGCTCCGTAACAAAAACGCCAGTTGTTGATTGAGAAAAAAATTACAAATGAAATTAGTTTATCATGTTTTACAATTTGCAAATCTTTCTAATATTGGAATGGAACTGTTGACTTATCATTGATTTTTCAATGTGATATATTATAAGTACACCAATAGTTATTTTACATAAGTAATCATTTAATGTTGTAGGTGTGCCCAAAAAAAAATATTAGGTATTATTGTATTAAGATACTAAAGTAATATATTCAGAATAATAATTGGAACCCAATGTGGCATTGTATTCGTTTTTTACTAAAAAAGTAAACCTATGTTTATTTTTCATTTTATTTTAAAAAAATTTCCTACCGCCTTATAGTGAAAAATGTATATGCA